GGGATCCTCCCAGACCGGGGCACGAACCCGTATCCCCTGCATCGGCAGGCGGACTCTCAACCACTGCGCCACCAGGGAGGCCCACGGATTTATATTTTTTAAAGAGTTCTTATAAATTATTTTTAAAGCACTGTTCAAAACTATGAACCAGAAGTTCACAAAGGAGAAATGCCAGTAAGCCCATGATAAGGTACTCAGCCTTACTGGAGATCAGAAAAAAAAAATGCAGCTTAGATTTTTATCTCCCAGATATTGACAAAAACAAAAAAATACTGATAGTATTTAGTTTCCTTGAGGGTGTAGGCAAACAGATGCTCTTGCTTCTGGTATGAACGTGTATTGATCTAGACTTTCAGTTTGACAGCGTATTTCAAAAACTCTGAAAAGTATGTATCTTAGGACTCAGTAAATTTTTTCTAGAAATTTATCCTAAGGAAGTAAATTTTTTAAAAAAAATGAAGTCCAAAGATACAGATACAAGGTCATTCATCATTTATAGCATTTTTTATAATAGTGAATAACTGGGCCCTATTAATAGCCATCAGTAGAAGATTGATTATTTAAATTAGGATATATTCTATTGAATATTCTATAGCTATTAAAATTTATGATGTAGTTATATATTTATTGACATATCAGGATGTTTGCAGAGCAAAACATGTAGGTCAGGCATTATGCATATAGTGAGATTTCCTTTTTCTTTAATTTATAGGTTTAAGTGTGTATGTGTGTGCATATAGAATGCCTGGAAGGATTTAGACAAAAATATTAATAATAATTTTTGCTGTGTATTAGGGCTTTTAAATTTTTTATATTTTAGTTTTTCTAAAGATTAGTCACAAAATTACATTAATTTTCCAATGAGCAAAAGAATCTAGTCTATAAAAAAGGGGAAAATGGGGAGTATTAAATAATCTAGAAAAGTTTCCTAAAATATTTATGCATATAACTTGATAAGTAATAAAAGAATATAATTATAGTATTGGTTTGATCTGGAGTAACTGATCTTTATAATGCTTTTCAATTTTTTAGGACTAGAAGAAATTGCAAAAGAAAGAGAAAAACTAAAAAAGGCAGAAAGTATCCAGATCAAAGAAGAAATATTTGAGACTTCTGAGGACACTTTAAATTGTTCAAATCCAAATCACTGTGAGCAAAAGGAAGATACTAAAGAAAAAGATAACACAAATCTGTTTCTTCAGAAACCTGGTTCATTTTCGAAATTAAGCAAGCTTTTAGAAGTAGCTAAGATGCCTCCTGAGTCAGATGTAATAACCCCCAAACCAAACAGTAGTGCAAATGGGTGCACATTGTCTTATCAAAACAGTGGAAAACATTCACTGGGCAGCATTCAATCAACAGCAACACAAAGCAGTGTGGAAAAGACAGACTCTAATAATCTGTTCAGTACCAGTTCAGGTGGTCCAGGGAAGTTCTATAGTCCTCTCCCCAATGACCAGTTGTTAAAAACACTGACTGAAAAGAATAGACAGTGGTTTAGCCTTTTGCCAAGGACACCTTGTGATGACACATCACTTACCCATGCAGGTATGTCAACTGCTTCTTTAGTGACCCCTCAGTCTCAGCCACCATCTAAGTCACCTTCGCCTGCCCCAGCTCCTCTTCTTGGATCATCTTCTGCTCAGAATCCTGTTGGCCTAAATCCATTTGCTTTATCACCTCTTCAGGTTAGTGCTGCTAATTGTAACTCATTCTTATGTTGCTTTATTTAATCTTTGACCCCATAAAGATTTTCTCTCAAGGGAAATCAGTTGAATATTTATAATATTGTCTCCGCCATGGTTTGAAAATCGAAGAGTCAGAATTGCTATCACCAAGCTTCATCAGAACTACTGATGTCTAAGTCAAAGCCTTCTTTAATTACTCTTTAACTTATTACTGTTGCATTATATCTAAAAAGAAAGTACTTGGGGAGCAAATGAAATGACGTATGCCTCTAATTGTGATAAGTGAAAGAATGTTTTTTTCCGAATTTTATAAATAATTGCTGGTTCTAAACACTTTTCCTAACTTCTTAGATTGTTCTACTTTTAAAATGTTTTGGTTTTTATCGCAGATGAAAAGTGGAGTATCTATGATGGGACTCCAGTTTTGTGGGTGGCCCACCGGTGTGCTGACTTCCAGTAATCCATTTACATCACCTTTACCTAGTCTTGGATCAGGGTTGGGATTATCAGAAGGAAATAGTAATTCATTCTTGACTCCTAATGTTGCTTCAAGTAAAAGTGAATCTCCAGTACCACAGAATGAAAAAGTCTCTTCAGCTCAACCTGTAGCTGTTGAAGTAGCAAAACCAGTAGATTTTCCTAATCCAAAACCTATTCCAGAAGGTAGGTACATTGAGATGGTTTATAGCCACTTACTTACTTTATTTTATTGTTATAGATTCCTGCATTATAACCGAATCTTTGATGGTTTTCTACATAGTTATAAGTCTTCTGATTTGCACTGTGCCTTTCATTTATATTCAAAATATTTGTAAAAAGATCTACATATTTATCTTAACTTAGAAATGCAGTTTGGTTGGTGGAGAATTATTGACCCAGAGGACCTGAAAGCTTTGCTCAAAGTGCTCCATCTCAGAGGAATAAGAGAAAAGGCGTTACAAAAACAAATTCAGAAGCACTTGGATTATATTACTCAAGCTTGCGTCAAGAATAAGGATGGTACGTACCTAAAAGAGACTTCTGCTCTCTTGCTTAGTTATGAGAATTAGTTCTTTTATCTTAAAACATATTTTAGTATATCCTAGTTCTTAATTTATTACTAATAGGCATTTTTTTTCTACTTTGTTCAACACACAGTAACTCTTTACATTTCTTAAATAGGTATTACTTTCTTATAATTTCTCACAACCTGCAGACATATTGTTTTGTTTCTTAAAAAAGAATATTCCTACTTTTAAGAGTAATCTGCCTGTGTATGCACAAGTACATTTGTGTGTGTTAAGTTACACGTATATGTTATCCCTGGACCCTTATTCACTTTTTAGAAGAAATCATTGAGGGATAAAGTGGACTCTAAAATTAATTTCTTTTCAAATATAGTTGCTATTATTGAATTCAATGAACATGAAGAAAACCAGGTAACTCGAGATATTGTGGAGAGCTGGTCAGTAGAAGAACAAGCAATGGAAGTGGATTTGAGTATTCTTCAACAGGTGGAAGATCTAGAAAGGAGAGTTGCATCAGCAAGTTTGCAAGTGAAGGTAAAATTGATTGGAATGAAATCTATTTTAAGGATGATGGAAGGTAACTATTATTCGTTGTATACCTGATATGTGCCAGTTACTCTGCTAAATGTTTTCACTTTATCTCATTTAATTCTCAAAATGATCCTGAATTTCCCCCATCTTACAGGTAAGGAACAAGACTCAAAGTAAGTAACCTGCCAGTGGTCACATCGTAAGCTAAGCGTGTATTCATCCAAGTCTGTCTGGCTCCAGAACCTGTGTTCTTTCTACCAAATCTTGCTGCCTCCTTAATGGTATTCAAAAGTGTCATTTCTAGTTTTACCCATGATACATATAATGCTCTATCAAATTCCTACTATACTGTTTCATACAGAGGAACCTCCTTGCATCAAGCTATGTTGTATGTCAAAATTTCACTCTATATAATTTAAAATTGGAGAATGTAGATATATCCAGATATACACTGTATCATTATACACATACCCACACACCCTACATATATATGTAAATTTTAAATTTATTTATCTACTGTTTAAATTTTAAATTTATTTATCTACTATTTACCATGTCACAAGCATTATCTTGATCAGAATGGCTTCCAATGGACAGGCAAAAGGAAAGCTTTACCTTAGTGCAAGAATTTTTAGTTTTGGTAGGAGAGATATAAAGTCTTCTCAGTTGATAATAAGGTGATGTCTCTTGAGAATACATGGATGGATGATGAATAAGTATGAGACACCTGAAAAGGTTTAGAAAATGTAGTATCCATGTAATTTGATTTGCTATTCTATGTTTTATTCAGAGTGAGAAACTTATGCCATAATACTATCCTATGGCATTTGGAAACTTTTGAAGTTCTCCAAAAAATGTCACTTTCCAGAGCTAATGACATATCCCTTTCTTGCCACAAACATAATTACCAACTCTGGGAGACAAAATTTATCATTTGTTGACTCTATTTTGCTAGCAAACTATATCTTCCTCCTAGTACTATAATACAGTATAAAAATGCCCCATTTATTTGGCATCTTCAACAAATGAAGTCTTCCACACAAGTTAATTTTCTAGAGAAATGATAATTATTCCATTTAGCACCATAATTTTTTAACATGTTTGTCAGATCGCTTACGTTACGCATTACACTGCCGTCTTAAATTGAGAATAATGAGTTTGATTTAAATTATCTTGGTGACACAGGATCATTAGTGCGAAGACCAATTATTAGATGATGATTCCCTCAGGAAATGTGAAGAGGTTTTGCCCCTACATTAAATGGTCCTAGTGTGCTTTGCTTTTAAACGACTGTGTCTGCTTTCTATAGTCTGTTTCTGTCTTCTCTCATGGTCAGTTGCTACTACTTGGCTGGTTTAAATTTGGTTGGTTCTACTGGCCCAATTTTCCCCCAACTTCCTCCACCTAATTTGCCAGTTCTAATTGGCTATTGGTTGGGAACACATATCACCGAGATTTTTTTTTTTTAAAGATATAATTTTATTTATTTTTGGCTGAGTTGGGTCTTCGTTGCTGCACGCGGGCTTCTCATTGCGGTGGCTTCTCTTGTTGCAGAGCACAGGCTCTAGGTGCGTGGGTTCAGTAGTTGTGGCGCACAGGCTCAGTAGTTGTGGCACATAGGCTTAGTTGCTCTGCAGCATGTGGGATCTTCCCGGACCAGGGCTCGAACCCATGTCCCCTGCAGTGGCAGGTGGATTCTTATCCACTGTGCCACCAGGGAAGTCCCAAGCTTTTTTAAGTTAAGTATAAAGTCAGGGTGTGGGCCTGAAACATTTTCCTGGAGCCATACTCATATTTTCCTGCATTAACCTTATCACATTACTGGCTGCTTAGACAATCTTGGCTGTGTTCTAAGTATATAAGAAAAGTAGAATTTGTTTTTTAAGTGAAACGTTTTAATATTCTGTTATTAAGGTATTACTAAATTATTCTGTATTATTCTGAAAAAATGAATTATATTATTCTTGAAGAGTCTAAAAACACAAATGATGAAAATAACCGCAAGACATTATTTTAACATCTATAGAAGATTTAATGTGTTTTTTTTTTTTTTAAGAAAATAGAGTTATATGTTTAACGTGGGGAACTAGCCATTGTGAAGACACACCACACAGGTGGCCTGTGGGACTTACTTAGGTGCATTCATTTATATTTTTAATATTGCTTATAATTTGGACATTCTTTATTATTTTGTAGGAAAATCTGCAAGTCTCTTGTCCTAGTTCTGTTGTTGCGAGTATACAAAGAACCTAATTACTCTTCCAGCTCCTCTAAAGATAGCTCCTGTGTCTCTTTCTAAGTTTCTCTTTTTCAAGCTAATTAATTCCTTCAACCATTAGTCCTGTGAAATAGTTTCCATGTACACGATTCTCTTCTGTATAAACACCAGTGTTAATATACTTCTTAAAATGTTGTATCCATAACTATACATGGCACGGTCTGAATGTGTTCGTGGGACTTTTACTTTCCTTAATCCAGCACTATACTTCCATTAATGCTGTTTGAATTTTGTACTAGCCTTTTAGCGTCCACATCATACTCTTGCTTCACTGAGTATACACTATGAAAAAGACAAACTTTGGCCCTCTTTCAAAGAGCTTTTAAGCAAGTTCTATCACACATAGTATTCAATATTTCTGTGATTAGTTGCTTAAACTTCAAACCTAAAATTTACATTTATCATTGTTTTATTTTTATTAATTTCATGTGGGTACATTTTTCAGCATATGGAACTGTGTTTATCTTAGTCCTGTTATACAGAATATTAAATTTTCTTCCTAGTTTTAAATCATCTGCAGATTTAATAACAATCAACCAAGTTACTCATAAGTGTATTAACAGGACAAACCAAGTACAGAGCCTTTTGGACACTGGCACTGGGGACCTTTTCTGAGGTGACACAAGTTCTGTCAATCACCATTTTTTGGAAGCAGTTTTCAACCCTCTAGATTTCTTTAATCTAGTCTTCATTTTTTTTCTTGTCATTTGCCTTGCAGACATCAAGATATGCTATGTTTACAGGGTTCTCTTGATTTATCAATTTAGTACCCTTTTCAAAATATGGGAATGAGGTTCATTTGACATGACTTGTACCTAATGCACTTACATGTACTATTCATAATTCCATCCTTACTTCACAAATATAAATGTTCTACTGAATTAAAGAAGAAGAATTGATCCTAATATACAAAATAAAATAATTATCTCTAAAGAGGTTTAATAAAAAGGGTAATGTTCATTCTGTTTTTCATTTAATATGCATTTACTAAGCCCCTATTCCACATCAGACAGTAGGCACCACAAAATTGGATAAAATGTGGTTTCTGCTGTCAGAAATCTTGTCATCTAATAGGGAGATAAGTCATATATACATCTCCACAGAATCTGTTAACTGATCCTAGAGGAATACAGAGTCATACATGAATTTAGAAAAAGAATACATAACTTCTCATGGAGACATGGGAGAGATTAGGGAACATTTCACGTAGAATTCGAGATGGAACTTGAGAAGGTGAGTCAGCTTTTGACAGTGAATGCCATGCTAGGAAGAGGGAACAGCCTGAGCAGAGCACCAGGATCCAGAAGTTTAGGGCATGTTTGTGGAGTTGCAAGTTGTGGAATTTGCAGTGTCGGATGTGTGAACGGGAACATAAGAGGAAGAGGCAGATTGAGGTACTGGAATATCATGATAAAAATATGGACTTTGTTAAACAGTAGGGAAACTTTGAGGGATTTTGAGGTAGAAGATGAATAAAAGCAAGCTGAGTTACAAGATCATTCACTTATTCAGTCAACACGTGTGTATTGAGTGCCTACTATTTGCTTTCACTGTGCTGGAGATAAAATGAGTAAAAAGCAGACGTGGTCCCTGCCATCATGGAATTTAGAGGTAAAAAGATGTGAATCAAATAATCACAATAGTAAAAAATTGTGAGTACCGCAAGGCTATGGCGTACTACATGGTCCTTTGTGGGCTTGTAATATGGAGACTTACCTGCTAAAGTAGGTCAGAGAAGGATTCCCTGAGGACTTTTAAAATGAGAGCTGCAGGATGAGTGGATTTAACCAGGTTAAGAGCAACAGGGAAAGGCTCTACAGACAAATATAACAGCTCACGCAGACTCCTACGGCTGAAGGAAAAATGGTAAGTATTATACAGACCCCTGTACAGAGGAGTGGTAGAAGGAACGGAAATGGAAAGGAAGAGCTAAATTCAGAGACCACGGAGAGATTTCTGTTGAAATGAATAAGCATGTAGTCTAAAGTCTCTCAGAATACTTTGCTGATTTTCATTATACCTTTCATAATATCAAAAGTGATTAAATTTTCTTCTTCAAACTTCTCACAACTGTTTCTTTTAATTTTGTTATTCTTGTTTCTACCTAGCATTAGGAAACACAAGATAAAAACTTTTAGTAAAGATCCTTAAGGTCTGCTGGTGTCTGCTGCTGTGTTTTAAGTAAAGGTAATTCACCCAGCAGGCATTTTAAGAGGAAACCATAATAACATTATTCTTTTGATACATAGGGTTGGATGTGTCCAGAGCCTGCATCAGAAAGGGAGGACTTGGTATATTTTGAACATAAGTCATTTTCTAAATTGTGCAAGGAGCATGATGGAGAATTTACTGGAGAAGAAGAAAGCAGTGCACATGCACTGGAACGGAAGAGTGACAACCCCCTAGATATAGCTGTAACCAGGCTGGCTGATTTGGAGCGGAACATTGAAAGAAGGTATCTGAAGAGCCCCTTAAGTACCACCATTCAGATCAAACTGGATAATGTGGGCACAGTTACTGTCCCTGCTCCTGCACCATCCATTAGTGGTGATGGTGACGGGTAGGTTATTGAGATTAACTTGAAAAATTATTGTGCTTCTTTGCTAATTGGAGCCTATTTTCTATTGCCTGTTATCTATGTATCTTCTTGTATGTCTGTGATCCATATGGATCATGCTGTTTGCATGGTGCTTTGTAAAAACATTTTTTTGTTGTTGTTATGTGCGTTGATAATCCTGCAAAGTGATCTTACATTTACCTGGTTGTGACTAAGCTTTGAGGCACGTAGCCACAGTCTGTGCACTACATCAAATTTAGTTGCTTAAACCTTATACTTATTGGCTGTTACATGTTTTTGTCATTGCTTGGCTTTCAGTGTGATGATTGTTTCACATTCAGTAACCATAAATGTGGATGTGACCTACTTAATTTTTCTATATTTCAATGCAGAATTGAAGAGGATATTGCTCCAGGGCTCAGGGTATGGAGAAGGGCATTATCAGAAGCTCGCAGTGCTGCACAGGTAGCTCTGTGCATTCAGCAGTTACAGAAATCAGTAGCATGGGAAAAATCAATTATGAAAGTTGTAAGTGTTTTTATTTAAGAAATACTATAATTTACTTTGTCCTGTTTTTTTCCAATCTTCAGATATTTCTTAATTATGCATTACTTATTGTCAAAACAATGTATGCTGTACTTGAGAATTTCCTTAATTCTTAAATACTGTATAGCTTGATACTTTCCTCCTTATTTTGAGCTTTTTGAACAAAGCTACCAAATGTTATCTTTCGTTTTTTAAAATCTTGTCTTTCTCTCCTTTGAATATTGTTTATAACTCTGACTGAAGTTGTCTTCTCCATTCTGTCAACATAATAGTTGTTAATCTGAGTGTTTTGAAGGCCCTTTCAATCTTGTAAACACTCCAGTTGCTAACATTACCTGCTTAGTACATTCACTTCATTTCTAAACTATCTTTATATTTGTATCAATTTTCTTTTCTTAATGCCAGAAATACTTAGCTAAGTAAATACGGAATAAGCAGAGAGCTCTTCCTTTATGCACCGATATCATGTTTTGGGTTGGCCAAAAAATTGCCTTAGGTTTTTAAGTAAAAATAAAAGATACATTTTTCATTTTCACCAAGAACTTTATTGAACAACGTATTCACCCTTTTGTTCCACTACCTTCTACCATTTTTCAAGCAACTTCATAATTCCATCTTCCCAACACTTTTTATCTTTTTGAGCAAAGAACTGATCCAGGTGCCTTTTACAGTCTTCCAGGGAATTAACTTTTTTTCCATTAAGAGAACTTTGTGAAGCCTAAATGAATGGAAATCCAAAGGTGTAATGTCTGGTGAATAAGCTGGATGAATCAGAGCTTCCCAGCTAAGCTGTAACAGCTTTTGCCTGGTCATCAAAGAAACATGCAGTCTTGCATTATACTGATGGAAGATTATGCATTTTCTGTTGACTAATTCTGGACACTTTTTGTTGAGTGCTGCTTTCAGTTGGTCTAATTGGGAGCAGTACTTGTTGGAATTAATCGTTTGGTTTTCTGGAAGGAGCTCATAATAGAGGACTCCCTTCCAATCCCACCATATACACAACATCACCTTCTTTGGATGAAGACCGGCCTTTGGTGTGGTTGGTGGTGTTTCATTTCGCTTGCCCCATGATCTCTTCCATTCCACATTATTGTACAGTATCCACTTTTCATCACCCGTCACAATGTGTTTTAAAAATGGAACATTTTCATTATGTTTAAGCAGAGAATCGCATTAGGAAATACGGTCAAGAAGAGTTTCTTTGCTTAATTTATGTGGAACTCAAACATCAAAGCGATTCACATAACCAAACTGGTGTAAATGATTTTCAGCCCTTGATTTGGATATTTTGAGTTTTGTTGGCTATCTCCCGCATGGTATAACGTTGATTGTTCTCAATTAATGTCTTGATTTGATCGCTGTCAACTTCAACTGGTCTACCCAACCGTGGAGCATCATCCAGTGAGAAATTTCCAGCATGAAACTTCGCAGACCACTTTTGATGTGTTCAGCCAGTCACAGCACCTTCTCCATACACTGCACAAATCTTCTTTTGCATTTCGGTTGCGTTTTTACCTTTCTTGAAATAATAAAGCATAATATGCCGAAAATGTTGCCTTTTTTCTTCCATCTTCAGTATTAAAATGGCTACACAAAAATTAACCAATTTTGATGTCTTTTTTAAAATGCACGCTGATATGATAGGTGTCACATACAATCTAACAAAATTGTTTTGAATGAACTTATAGACAATTAAGTGTTACTAGAGCCATCTTGTGGAAAAAAGGCAAACGAACCTTTTGGCCAACCCAATATTTGGATATAGTTGGCATTGAGTAGATCTTTTTAGTCTTTCCTCTAACAGTTAAAAATGTTTCTTCGCCGCCTTTGTTCAAGCCCAGTTAGTTATCATGTAGTGGCCTCTACTTTGTACTAGGCAACAAATGCTATATGTTCAAAATAAAAGCTCTATTTCTTATGTTTTCCAGAGAGAGATTTATCTTAAATCATGTACGTGTCCCTTTTGCCTCTTTTGTATCATATACAGAAATATCTATTATAGGTAGACTTTTATGAATTACTTTAACAGTTGCTTTTGAATTACAGGTTAGCTTTAAAGTTCAAACATTTGAGATTTGTTTTCATGAACAACTAAGGGTAAAATTCCTATTTTAAATAATCTTCCCCAAAGAAAAGAAGTGATCCTTAAATAATTTAGCATTCTCTCCTTCCTTTTTACCTCTGTACTTAGACTACTCAATACTTTATTCATTCTATACAAATAAATTTGCTTTCTTCTATGGTTTTTTTCACTTCCTTCTAAAATGTTCATGGAATAATGGATCTGCAGTTTTCATAA